CCTGCTTTTACAAAGTAAGTAAATCCAGAAGTTGTTTTATTTCAAATCAGGAGAGCTTCTGCACCAATTTGACCACAATCACACATTGCAAGTACAGGTGCAAATACATCCACAATCTGAATTCAGCTATCTGTGTTTCAGACCCATCACTGGTCATGACCAGGAAGTCAAGTTAGTTTAGCCCTGGACCACATTGGGAAGTCTATTCCTGGGCACTCAGTCCTCACAGCTTTTCACCAATCTTAGCATAATTTCATTTCTCTCTCAAAGTACAGAAGGAGAGGAAACAGAAAAACAAAGTGGAAAACATGGTAAGCGACAACACGATAAAAACACTCCCCTGCTAATCTGTTTTGTCTTATTGCCATAAAATGGAACAGAGTCCAGAACAGAGTTAGGACAACCTACATTTACAAGTGCTCATTTAGCTGTGAAAGACCATGAGATGGAGTGACTTAAAAATCTGATATACATATATATATATATACATGCACACATTTAAATGAGCAACTCTAACTCTTTTGAAGGCTGTATAAAAATATACTGTCATAACACTTCACCTTCTTTATACATAGATTACTAGTGCATTCATTCCTCTAAAAATCATTCTCTTAGAAGGAACTTTGATTAATATGATTTAGGTTTTTGACCCTTTACCGCAGTAAATGGGGTGGCAGTGAATACACATACACAAACAGTTTGATTAAACAATGATCTGGATATATTGCAAATCCAGAGCACTAACTATTTGCTTAATTTTCTCTTTTGTCTTCAGGGCGATGGTGAAAAGCTGCTGGTCTGATGGCTCTGAAACAAAACTCCTGGGGCTAACATACACAAAATTAGATTTTGTGCTTTGTCCTCATACTGCTGGCTCAGTGGGAAGATTTTTCAATTTGTGCAAAGTCTCAGAAAGGGCAGAAAGAAAATTGGTCCCTGCTCTCAAGGAGCATCTTCATGCTGTGCCCTAAAATGTAGCTCCCCTTCCCCTCCTTCCTCAGGTTGGGGAATGGAGGTAGTTGGTACTTGGGTGCAAGGAATTGTGTTCAGTGTCACAGAGAATTGGGATGAAAATGCCATAGTTACCTTCACTTCATTAAAAAAGCAAAAAAAAAGTGATCTTCATTACATAAATATTTTATGCAATACACTTAGGAAAATAACATTCTTTCATGAGACCCACTTACTTGGGTTTGGAGGGAAGAGTGTGCAGCTTTTGCAGTGAATTATTTCTTTGACTACAGGCACATCTGTTGGTGGTGGTGGCGGCACTAACCCCATGCCTGGTATCATTGGGTTAATCGGAGTGATTCCAGTCATCATGCTAAGACTTGGATCAAAGCCTGGTACACAGATTGAATCTGTAAATATACAACATAAAATCTTGGATTATAAATCTTGAAACTACTTGTTACTAGCTTCTCACTCAGACCGTTTTGCTTCAGGCGTTTTTTTTCCCCAAGCACTGCTGTTGAAAGAATGAAAACGAAGAAGAGGAAGAGAAAAAAAGGACTGCATTTTCAGTGATCCATTGCAATGAAAAAAAAAAAAAAAAAAAGCTATGCATAAAGAAAGGAATGTTACATAATTTAATGCACTAATAAGTAAAAAAAAAATGCAAAAACATGCACCATGAAGGTCTGTTATTATCTGGAATGCAATTTTCTGTTTCGTAATGCTATTGTGTTGTTTACAATGCCCTCTGACCCAGAGCGTGGAAAGAATATCATTTAACATCAATATGCCTTCTTCATCTAATTGTTGAACAGCTTTATCACAACATAGCTTTCTCTCACAAATGACCTTGGTTTACGAAAAAGCTCGATTTTTCGCTGTTTTATATAAGTCAATTTAGTCAAGACTTCTAACCATGTTTTTTTCCTGGTATGTAAACCACATAGAATGAGGTCTTTTTGAACCTTGGAATTTATTCTTTTTTTTTTTTTTTCTTTCTTTTTTGTCCTGTCTGCTAATCGGATTAGTAGATTCTCTTCAACACACATATTATTGAAATACACCACTACACTCCCATAAAGTAAAATGCCTATTTGGCAAATACTACTCTTTCTCCTTCCTGTTCTCTTTGCCAAGAGTTCCATACATATTATTTAAAGCTGAAACAGATTTACTAGGGAGTACCAGTGCTGCAACACCATGAATTGTAATAAGCAGATGTTTTAGATGAACAGAGCCAACTTCTGAAATTTGCTTTTGTTAAAAACATGGCTTTGGGTTTCTTGAGGCATAATGAATAAAATATTTTGAGAGACCAATCTCTTTGTTGGCATAGCACTGCTGCTATTTGGCATCATCAATTATTTAAAAGAAGACAGTTACTTTGGTGTTCTACAGGTTTTCTGCTGAGTTTTCTGGCTAGCAACTGTAAAGTATTTAATGAGATACGTAAATGTGGGATTTGGTAGCTTGGGAGCCTGTTTGTTTTGAACAAGCAAAAAGGGAAACAAGACCTTTTTTCATTTTTTTTTTTTATGTTTAGGAAATTTGAAATACATTTTACATAAGTCAGTATGATCAATTGAATGTGAGCAGATCTGTCTGTCCCTTCATCTGTCCCTAAATCTGCCGAGAAACTAGACGGGTCAGCCTGCTGACCTTCCAGTATCGTGTTTTCCGCTTCTGCAAATCAATTACAATAATATTCCCTCACTGGCAATGATGTACTCACATTTCAATACCACTTTGCAGGCGTAAAGCACACTGTGAGCACTGCAATTACTATCATGTCCTGTGAAACATCCAGAGCCATCTTCTCCAGGACAGACCACGGAGAAATGAGAGCCTCCACTCCAGGAGGGAGGGTATCTGTCTCTGCTGCACGCACTGCTCTCTGTGCACCGACTGTGTGCCTTCATCACTTTCAGGCAGTGCTGTACTGCAAGAATACCAAGTGCACAGCAAGCAGGGATTTGCTTTAGGCTTAGTGAAGACTAGTATTAATGAAAACCCATGATACTACATTACTTTTTTTTTTTTTTTTTCAATAAGTGGGCTTATGAAAAAGGATTTGCTCTGGGTATGATGTTTTTTCAGTATGGATGTATGTGCATTCCTTTTCAGATTAAGCTCTGAAACTCAGTCTGTCATTTACTTCATGGGATGAAGCACTGGCCATATTAAATATTCATGTTTAGTGAATGCTGGGAGATAAAGTCAGAGGTGAAAGGACAATATACAATTCAAAGAAGTCCTCTGGCTGTGCTAATTTGCTTGATCTCATTTTTAAAAGTCAGACTTCTGACAGTCACAGTAGGCCATCATAGGCATCATTCTCCTGCTGTGGATGGAAGTCCATCATTACTACTTACTATTTGCATGGCCTGCAGAGCTCCACGTCAAACAGTGCCATATCACAATAGCACTGAATGCACCGTAACATATTGCAACCTATCCTGGAATTGAGGAAAATTCGAGCTAGATAGAGGTCTATGAAGTTGTCTAGTCCTTATCTCTGGATATGCAGGATCAGCTACAGTCATACCCACATATGAAGCTTCAGATTAAATTGAATAGTCATGATAATCCCACAGCATTATGAGACATGGATGGAGCAGGTGGAAATGAACAAGAGAAACAGGAAAGAAGGCCAAGTTTTTTATGTCTCCTATGCATCTTTTAGGTTCCATGTGAAAGCAGAGGAAAAATATCATCATCTGATGACTACTATCATGGATAGTATTTAGTCATTACTGCTCTCTCTTTAAGACATTTCAGTTTCTCTGCAAGCTTACAGAACTGACACAGCTCTGACACAGTTGCAAACTCTACCCAAAATATAGACACAAGCTATAACCCAAAGCAACGATGGCAGAAGATTTCAATAGGGTAGAGTTTTCTGAATATACCTTTGACAGGGGTAGAGATGACACAGAGGAAAACAAAGCATCTAAGGGCATTAGCAACATGGAAATGCATGTCCACAAACACTGCTATTATGGGGCTGAAAGGGAGCTGAGAAGGAGAGATTTTAGGTTACATGCCAACCAAAGGAGGTTGGGGATTTCAATAGAAAAAATGGTTTCCCACTAATTCCTGCCACGTTCGAGTAAACACGATTCTGTAAGTAGCTATGCTGGTGCCAGATAATTATAATGCTTCGTCATCGGCTTTGCTTCCAAGTAGGATCAATCTACTATAGCATGAACAGACTGCTGGGGGACAACACTCCCAAAATGCCTGTCTAGGTGCTTTGGGACTTTATGTCTCAGAAGGTGAATGTGTTGAGGTATATTGAAGAGGAACGAGTCAATAATTCTTGGAATCAGTATTCCACTTCTTACAGGCACTAATCCAAAACCAGCTAAGGTCAATGGTAAGACTATTGATGGCATGTATCCAGGCCAAGGTTTACTTCTTCTGTGGTCTTGGATATGTTGCTTCGGCTTTCTAATGTGTTAAATTGAGAATGAAATACTTCCATATATCACATGAGCACTGAGAGAATGTGATAGCACCATTTGTAGCATATCCTGAAAATGAAAAACATTCTCTGAATACTAAAAACTATTGCTATGCATTGCAGTAATGCAAATTCAATGCATATTCGGTCATGTGTACTTCTTGTATGCATCTGAATACCTCTTGGGTACATGTGAACACCTCTCACAGTCCAACCCTTCGAAGTGTGCTGCCAAAAATACAATGTCTCAGGACTTGATATGGCAAAATTCACTCTAATCATATTTTAGGGTTCTTTAAAAAGATAGGTATTTTCTTATTTTTTAATTCTTACTGGTTAATGTGTGGTGAGTACACTGAAAAAATACAATGCTATAGGGCACTGTACCAGGAAGAACTTTGGATTTTATTTTTTTCTGGATGTTATGCCTTTATTTTACTATCCAATTCCTGGCAGACTTTCAACTCATCTAATTTTGAACAGTTACAATGTAGAAATCTGTATCCAAGCTCTTCATTTCAGACTCAGTGACGAGAAATAGACATGATCAGTTTAGATGTCTGCATATGGATGAAGCTAAGCATATCTGAAAAACGTGGTGCCCTCTGCAATGACTTCTGAGGTGTCTAGCTCAAAAGTAGTCAAGTACACATGGTCAACCAAATCACAGGATGCCTCTTCTGTATCTTCACCGTTCTCATCTGTGGATTCCAGCATTCGTTTTGATGATGTGACTTTACCATTCTAGAGATTATCATCCTATTGAAAATCTGGGACTTTACTCCTCAAATATTCAAAGTTTTGTTGGAATCACCTAGCTTGGTTGCTTCACACTAATCTTTTTCTAAACATCACAGTGAGCAACCTCATGGAAGTAGGATGTTCTTCAAAGTATGTCCTTCTGTCCAATAGTATCCCTCCATTTTTTTTCCTTAGGTTCAGCTGGAGCCAGCTGATTTCTGAACACTGCTGATCTTGTTTAGACCCCTGAAGAGACTGGTAGTGCTTCAAACCATGAAGACAGTCTGTGGATGAAATGGATCTGATCAGGGCTCTGAGTGTGCACAGAAAAAAAGGACTGATAAAATTACTGAAAAAGAAGGCCAATAAATTCTCCACATTGCTGACAAGATCCAAAAAAATACCGAGTTTAACTATATTAATACTGCAGAGTGGTACAATAATGAGAATTGGATATATGGCTCTTGTCTAGGGAGAGGAGACTGTCATCCATCAGCGCCACCACAGCAGTCTGCTTCATGTCCTGGCACAATGCCTTTGTGGAACAGGACAGGGACACTAGTGTTACCTAGGTGGAGCTGGAGACAAATTTTGTTGAACTTTCATGTAAATTTGTTGATCTTTAGAAACAAAGATTTTGACAGAGTTATGTCAGTTTATAGGAAAATGAGAACCAACCTTCAGCACATATTTTTTTTTTGACAGGTACATTTGGTTATATGATTATTAAGATATTGTATACATAACTACGCTATGTTTAGCATGGATAGATACATTATATTTATGATAACACATCTAAAGATGAAAATAAGTAACATAAGGATCACAGCATTATTTTTAAATGGATATACCTATATATACATATATGCATATATATACACGCACATACACATACATGATTACACAGATAAGTAAGAGTTTATGATTTCCTAGAATTATAAATATTAATATGGTAGAATATAGAAAACTTACATTTAAAATATGTTAATGAATAATTACTAAAAGCATTACATTGAGAACATACAGGGATGATAAAGAGTTGAATAAAGAATGGAAAAGCATATTTTGCTCAAGTTAGAACCCTGAAAATATTGTCTAGAAGGATTCAATAATGACATATTTGTAGAAGAAAGTAAAAGCATTGAACATTAATATTTTAGGTCTATTTTAAAGTCACAGAATCACAGAACCACAGACCTACCC